CCACTGCAGGCATGTGGCTGCATTTCCTGAATCAAAAATGAATGTGTTTTCACTTGTTGATTGGTTCAGTCTTTGCAGCTTAGACTAACTTGTAAAGACTGAATCAATTCAGTCTTGGGCTTTTTGACTGTCTGTACTTAGCCCTAAAGTCTTTTAGAGGCAGGCAAATGGATATATTAGGAAGTATAATTACAGACTAGCGTGCAGGCAGCTGAAGGGATAAAATGGCAGCAGAGCTTAGAAGCCCCCTAGGTGACTGAGTAGCATTTTTAGGCCTGTACGTCTCTTCTCCATAAGCTGAGGAAGAAACTGGACAAAGTGCTGTACACGTTGCCTGTTTTGCATTTGCCCTGTTTAGCTGAGAGTTATCCCTTTGTTGTGGCCAAATAAGAATTGGGTTTACCAGCTGCCAGAGAACCTGTCAGCGAGTACCTCAGACATGAGATGAAACCGTCTTTAACAGCAAGACACATTGACATTTATGTTTTTGTGTATATTGTTTACAAAACATTCTTTTGTATCTTGCTATCATGGTCTTTGACAGCTAAAGAAACATTTCTTGTTTACCGTGTAGTTTTTAGGTTTAACTAATAAAAATCCAATTGCTCAACTTGGAACTCATTGATTTTGTGACCACTTTTCTAAATGGAAGATACAGCTGTATCTTGATTAGGGCTGACCCCTGCAGAGTCAGTGAAGGGGCTGCTGGCAGCACAGGCCTGAGCAGAGGTGGCATTGGGGTAACAGGGAAGGAAGCAGTATGGGGTTTGGCAGTGGTGAGCCAAGCTTCTACCAGTGACCACTCCCACTGGGACTAAAGGGCCTAAAATCTAGTGCCTTCTAGTAACCCACTGGGCTGGGTAGAGAGATTCTGTGGGCTGAATCTGGCCCACAGGCCATATGTTTGACATCCATGGTTTAAATGGACATCAATGCTATATGAAATGAAAAACGATAATACTGTTTCAGTGAAAGCATGAAATTTTATTTGTAAACTATTGGACAACTTGTTCCAATGCCTGTATTTGTATGGGTCCATATAGGTAGCTACTTTATTAATAAAGAAGTAACAAGAACAGAAAGGAAAGTAACATGAAATTACAAACCATCTTTGCAGTCTTTTCTTCATTTATAAAGTGAAATTACAAAAAACTAGGCCTGTATTCTGACCTTGAGTACGTAGATATGTGACCATTTTTAGTTGAAGTCATATCTACAGCTACATCTTAGTGTTTGTAAAGAATACAAAACTGAAATAGGAAAATATAATTATAAAGCATCCAAAACTGCAAAACTGTGTAAAATATATTTTAAAATGTGTTCAGTGCTTCAAATTATATTTAAATACAAAAAAGTGCTACTCATTTCTTTACTTTCCATCTTTTAAAGGAGGCAGATGTTCAGTAATCCAAATATCTTTTTTTTGTTGTTGGTAGAAACACCAAAAATTCAAGATTTAAAGTTTAATGTTTCTTTTCCATTCTGATGCCCAAGTGATACTTTTAGTGGGTGTTGACTATTCATGAAGTGTTTTATCCATCACTGTAACACTTTCTTTCTTTGTTGTTAGGGCACTTTTCCACATGGCATTGACATTCTGACTGCAGCTGATTATTTTGCTGTTGGTAACAGAGTAAATTGTTTCCTTACCGTAAGGTGAGTTTTCAAGCATCAGATTGCCCTATATTTAAAGTGCGTGGTTGATTTAATAGAGCATTATCTTTGTTATTCTATTTTTATCACAAATGGACATTTTTTTTCTTATACTTGCATAGTAACATAGATTATATGCTGAACATGGCAAAAGTTTTAACAGGTGTTTTTAGGGTCTACTGTGGCCAATATTGTTTAATGTGTTGATTAATGAACAGAAAAAGGGATGAGTAGCAACATGGGGAAATTTGCAAGTGACACAAACTTGCTTAGTAGGTAAGTTGAGGTTGGAGAAGATTGAAGGAACAAAGAGTAACATTGCAAAACTAGATCAATAGGCAACATGATAGGTGAAATTCAGTGATGGTAAATGTAAAGTAATACCATTTAAAAGGAATAATTTGGATTACTTGCATACATTGCTGAGTTGTGTCTCATCTGTAAGAACTCATGTTAAAGATCAGGACATCTTTTTTGTGGACAGTTCAGTGAACATTTCTGACCACCATGCAGCAGAACTTGAACAAGCTAACAAAATGTTGTGATGTAGGAGCTGTAAAAAATTGATGGAAAATAGGGAAAAAAAAAAAAAAGCCTCAGAACTATTGTAAGTCAACAGTGTGTCCCTCTGAACTGTGTTCTGTTCTGGTCACTTGCATATAAAATGATAGAGGAGAAATAGAGGCCAGACCTTTACCAGTATAGGTGATTGGAAACTGGTCTAAACTTGTAACAGAACAGTTCATCACACAAAACCAATCTGTGCCCGTAACAGAGCAGAATTTTGGCGCACACAGACTGGTTTAAAAATGGCAGAACCTGGTTTAAGATTTGCCCCTCTTCTACTAAAAGGTGAATGCGTGTTCTGTTTGCTACTGATTGGAACTATGCTGCTTACAGAAAACCCTGTAACTTAGATCAGTTCTGCCTTGGGCTTTTTGAGGCTAGAGATAGAAGTTACACATAAACTGGTTTAAGTGATCAGAAACTGATTTAAACTTGTAACAGAACAGAAACTCAGTGCACATAAACTAGCTTCAAAATGGCTGAAACTGGTTTAAGATAAATCTGGTTGAATGTAGTATCAAATTTAACTGATTTGGTTTATGAAACTTCTGTCCCAGACCCCTTCCTGGTTCAAGTTAAATCACAGTCCCCCAGCATACTTTCCAGGCCTGGGCTGTGCTGACTGCTCCAGAGAGCAGGGCTGGCTCTGCCTGTCTGCTCCGTATCTGGAGCAGTGAGGGATGGCTGATGGGGGGTGGGGCAGCTTGGCTGAGGATGCAGCCCAGGCTGATTTGTGGGGGGGGGTGGGACTGCCCCCCCAGGCAAACCCTTGCTGGGGTCTGGGACCAGGGAGGGGGGTTAAACACCCCTTTCCCCGCTCAAACTTTCTGCTGGCTGTGACTGTGGACTACATATCCCAGAGGCAACTGGAAGCAGGAAGAAGTGATAAGCAACCCTGCACAGTCCTGCAACTGTGATTTTTGGACAGCATATCCCAGAGACCTCGGGGGCAGCAGGAAGTGGAAGCCAACACACAGCCTATGTTGGCTACATGCCAGAGGGCTGTGCTGTAGCACCCCTTGCCTTCACTCCAGGCATGTGGCTGCATTTCCCGAATCAGAGGGAAATGTCTGTTCACTTCCATCTCAAATTAATCTCTGCAGCTTAGACTAAGCTGCAAAGACTGAATCAGCTGTACAATTTGATGTTATAAGTTATCACTTAGGAGTGAGGCTCTTCTCAGCCAGACTGGCTGACCTGCTCCACTGGGCTTTAAACTAAGCCTGCCAGGGGATGTGGGGGACTACCGCCACTGCTGGCCCGCTGAGCAACCCTTGCAAAGCCAGCAGGTCAAGGCGCTTGAACCCATCCCTGCCCCAGCCCTGGAATGATCTGTAGGCGAGGCAAGGCCCCCCGCAAAGGGACACTTGCATGCCTGTACACAAATGCCAGGAGCTTGGGGAATAAACAGGAGGAAATTGTCCTCCTGCTTAACGCAAATAATTACAATGTCATAGGGATAACGGAGACCTGATGGGACTCCACCCATGACTGGGCCACGGGTGTAGATGGCTATACCTTGTACAGGAGAAATTGAGTGGATAAAAGGGGCGGGGGTGTAGCTCTCTATGTTAAGGAAAACTATGTGTCCTTGCAAGCCGACATTGGCACCTAGGGTGGATGACTAGAGACCCTCTGGGTTAAAGTCCTTGGGGAACACGGCACAAGGGACACAATGGTGGGAGTGTACTACAGACCTCCAACCCAGGATCAAGAGCATGACCAGAAATTTGCCAGGGAATTGGCCGAGGCCGCATGCTTCTGGTCCATGGTTGTTATGGGAGACTTCAACTACCCGGACATGTCATGGGAAGAGTGCTCAGCCAGATGCGAACGGTCGCAAAGCATTCTCGTGTATGTGGATGAGCTCGATCTGATACAAGAAGTCTACAGGCTGACGAGAGGCGAAGCACTGCTCGACCTGACGAGCTCAGGAAGCTCGTCAGTGAGTCCTTAAGGGAGCATGACCCAAAGGAGAGGGTAGTTCAGGAAGAGTGGTTGCTCCTCAAGGGAGCGATCCTGGATGCACAAGCAAAGCCTATCCCATTCCAGAGGAAAGGCAGCAAAAGGGCACAGTGGCCCCCTTGGCTCTGCAGGGGACTAGTGGACCTCCTCCATCTGAAAAGGCCTACAAAGGATGGAGGACAGGATCCACCTCCGAGGAGGAATATTCTGCACTGGTCCGGACCTGCAGGGAGCGAACCAGGAAAGCCAAGGCTGCGACTGAACTCCAACTGGCTACAAGTGTCAAAGACAATGAAAAGTCCTTTTTTAGATATGTGAGGAGCCAGAGGAAAAGCAAGGGCAACATTGGACCCCTGCTAAAACCGGATGGGACAACTGACAGCTGATGCCCAGGATAAAGCCAACTTGCTAAGTGGGTATTTTAGGTCGGTTTTTTACCAGTCCCATGGGACACCCCTGCCCATTACGGGACGGGAAGGCCTGGGTGAGGGAGATTCCTTACCCTCCATCAATGCTGACTTTGTGAAGGAACACCTTGAGAGGCTGGATACCTTCAAGTCAGCCGGCCCTGACAGCTTACACCCCAGGGTACTCAAGGAGCTGGCTAGCATCATAGCCCAGCCCCTGGCACGGATCTTCGAGAACTCTTGATGCTCTGGTGAAGTACCTGATGATTGGAATGTGGTGCTTATCTTCAAGAAAGGGAGGAAAGTGGATCCGGCAAACTACAGGCCCCATCAGCCTGACTTCTATCCCAGGGAAGATCCTAGAAAAGATTATCAAGGAGACCATTCTCAACAGACTGGCCGATGGCAGAATTCTGAGGGATAGCCAGCATGGGTTTGTCGCATGTAGGTCTTGGTCTTGCTTGACCAGTCTTATTTCCTTTTACGACCAGGTGACCTATCACCTGGACAAGGGGGAAGAGATTGAAAGCTTTTTTAAAGTCAAGATATATGACATCAATCTGGTATCCCACGATCACCTCTTAGCAGAACTGGCCGACTGCAGCCTCAGCTTCACCACAGTCTGCTGACTGGGGAATAGGTTGGACCCAGAGGATGGTGGTTGATGGAAGTCAATTGTTGTGGTGCGCTTTGACCAGTGAGGTCCCTCAAGGCTCTGTCCTTGGGCCTATATTATTCAACATGTTCATTAATGATGTGGACATTGGAATCAGAAGCAGACTGGCCAAGTTCGCTGACGACACCAAACTTTGGGGTAAAGCATCCACACCTGAGGATAGGAGGGCGATTCAGGCTGACCTTGACAGGCTCAGGAAATGGGCGGACGAGAACCTGATGGTGTTTAACACTGAAAAATGCAAGGTTCTCCACCTTGGGAAGAAAAACCCGCAGCATGCTTATAGGTTTGGTAGTGCTACACTGGCTAGCACTGCGGATGAAAGGGACTTAGGAGTCATAATT